CCCCAAAACCCCAAAACCCCAAAACCCCAAAACCCCAAAACCCCAAAACCCCAAATGGGTTTTTATACGTTGAGCGATGTAGTTATTAAGGAATAAGAATATAATGATGAAATCTAGACTAGAGTATTACCTGAAATCCTGAAATAGGCAAAGAGCATGCTTAGAAGCAAAATCCGAGCCTAAAATTACTTCTAAAGTCAAAACGAAGCAAATCCTGCATCATAAAAAGAATTTAGGGGGTTACTGAGGAATTCATACTAAAATCCTGTTTCAGTGTGGGTTTCTCAAATGGTTTACACTTCTAAGGAGGTGTAAGGAAAGTCACAACACTTGCTTAACCCAAGCTGAACATCCTCTCCTAACCTAGGCGAAGTAATTCCATAAGCCTTTGAGGATTGCTGATAAAGAAGTGTGAGGTTAGCAGCCATCAATGTTCATTCTGGATCACCATGTCTGTTAAAGTTGGAAAGACAACCTGTCTGATACTAACTTAACACTTCTGAGCATGGAATGTGAGAAGTCAAATTAGTAGCGATAACAGCTGAATCTCTTAGAAAAGGAGCTGAGATTAACATCGAGGGAGTCAGCGGATATTAGGGTAGAACTTTCCTTCGAAGTGTGGAAGTAGCGACGGTAATAATAGAGAGCTTCCTCCATTTGAGCAGTTTTCCTAGAATTTTTAGCTATTAATGTGTATGAGAGTAAATTCTCCACTGAGAAGAGAAACCTTTACTCAGTTGTTGGCTCATAGGATTAGAGATTGAGCTAAGCCATACTTAATAAGCTATAACAGCCTAAATAACGTTTAATTAGGGTATTTTGAGATTCAAAGGTATAACGAGAGTTAGAAATTTTAGAAAAGAACAAAATTTATGCTTTTCTTTGACAGTCGAATTGGTAGCTTCCAAATTTCTATCCTTATGCTCATAAGTGTAGATTTGGACATCATCAGAGCTTTTGGAACCTCTTGGGCGAAGATAGATCTTTTTACATTTGTATTGATCTCAAAAATTCTTGAAAATTTTTAGAAAGATTCATAATAGTTAAGTGTAGAAATATCAAGTTGGACTAAAAGCTCAGTGTATTATTGAGAATAAATTAAAGACAATTTTTTATAATAATATATTCACTCTTTAGCTCATCATTTCATCCTAAAGCAATTTACAGTGAATTTTTATGAATTTAATTTTTCTAAAATCTCCTTCCACCCATACCTAATTCCAGAAAAAAAAACAATTAAAACACCTAAAAACACTCCTAAAACCCTTCCCTGATCTACTTTCCCCAATTTTCTAAAAATTCCCCACTATCCACTTTTTCTCCACACCATTCACCATCCTACTCCCTCACCTAAACCCCCTAAAACCCCCTCAAACCCACCTTAAACCCCCTTAAAACCTCCTAAACCCCCTTAAACCCCTCACTTCCCTCTCTTCTCCCCACTCCACCCTCCCCTTCCCTCTCCATCCACTCCATTTCCCCATTTCTTCACCATAAATTCTCAAATTCAATTCCAGACCCTCCTTCTGGGGTTTTGGGGTTTTGGGGTTTTGGGG